GTGTGTGTGTGTGTGTGTGTGTGTGTGTGTGTGTGTGTGTGTGTGTGTGTGTGTGTGTGTTTGTGTGTGTTTGCTGCCATTATTCTGGAAGGAAACTCTTCCTCCTGAGTGTATTTTGAGGGTTTAGATAAACAGATGTGCTGGGATACATTCCTTCCACAGTTTTTGTCAGACCAGGAAACACCTAAATATGGCACACAGTTCAACATGCAACAGTTTTAATGGCTGACTCTAAATGAAAGAAACCGTTGTGTCCAGGACAAAGCCTGGGACCATCAGCCACCTGTGTCCTCAGTCAACCTAAGGTAGCAATTACGTGTGACTTAAAATCCTGGGATAAGCGCCGCCGCACAACGCGAAGAGGGCAGAATTGCAGCAAGTATGAAAATGTCTCAATCTAATCATCATTAAGCTGTGTGGGCTGCGGTTAATTCAGGTCAGTCTCATGGCAACATAACGCTGCCTCCGATAATAACCTGTCCCATTTTCAGCTGCGCCACAAAGCCCGGTGGAAAYGACAGCTGTCGCGTGGCGGATAGCGCGCGCTCATATGAGCCCCTCCTCGTGCAGGTAGAGAGAGAGGGGGAAAGAAACAGTAAGTGTGGGGAGGGAGGGGGGGGTGTTATGTACTTGAAGTGGCTGGTGAGTCCACGCCCATCGCTGCCAATTACACACAATCAGCGTGAGAGCCGCGGAGCCGCGCCGCTGGTACAATGGGGGCCCCGCGCGCTCCGCGGAGGCCCGCGAGCGCCCTTCAAGTGCGTGCAGCTGCGCGCGCTCCAGAGAAAGCTCACTTCCCCTGCAATTAGCTACTCATTTCAGTCTCTAACAGGGGAAAACTGGTTTATTATCAGCTCCTCTGGCGGTTGTTGTGCTTAAAGGAAGAAAAAAAGAAAAGAAAAGAAAGAAAGATTGGCGTCCATTTTTAGTTRGTGGGGTTATTATTTGTTGGTGTCTGAAGTGGCTCTGAGAAGTTATTTTCTGCTAATTGTCGGGCTTACATCTTTGACAAATTTATCCCCAGACTTGAATGGCACTTCAGAGGTGCAGCCACACACACACACACACACACACACACACACAC